GGGTTCGTATGGGGGGCCCCGCCCCATCTCGGCACCCTCATCACGCGTTTCGTGGCCCCACAGGGAGCTCCACCAAAGGCCCCAGTGTCAGGGTTCGCAGGGCGCTCCCGCTCCATTTCGGCACACCTCTCACACGTTTCGTGGCCCCACAGGGAGCTCCACCGATAGCTGCCTTCATAATACGGCACCCACAATTGCAAATGGTTGGGCTCTCCGCCAGGATTATTCAAGACAATTGTGCGCCGCGCTCGGGCGAGAGCCACATATTGAAAACGAGCCCCCCCCTCCCGTGAAGCTCGTGCAGTGTTTTCAGACTAGTGTGCGCGGCGCGCAGGTGGGAACCACATTTTGAAAACCACCCCACCCGCCCTCCATTTGTGAAAATGTTGTCAGTTTTCTCAGCTTCAGGATCATAAGTGGAAGGCAGTCTCAGGTGAAACGCCTGGCCCGCCCTTCCGACTGGCGCCGGGGTGCAACAGGGAGGAATTTATTTAATCGCTTCGCTCATTCCGCCGGCCCATATTGTCGCACCGTTGTGGGCTAGCCGAGTTTTGGGGCCTCTTGGGGGCCGTTTTTGGGCCTCTTGGGGCCTCTTTTGGGCCTCTTGGGCGCCTCTTGGGGCGTCTTGGGGGCCTCTTGGGGGCCTCTTGGGGCCTTTTTGGGGCCTCCTGGGCGCCTTCTGGGGCGGAGGGCTCGATTTTTCAGTTCTCGGTTCCCCTCTTGAGCCCCTCTTGGGCCCGTCTTGGGGCCTCTTGGTCCGTCTTGGGCGGCACTTGGGCCGTCTTGGGGGCCCTCCTGGGCCGTTCCGGGGCCGTCTTGGGAGCCTCGTGGGCCGTCTTGGAGCGGTCTTGGGGGCCTCTTGGGCCGTCTTGGAGCGTCCGGAAGCCGAAAAAGCCAGAACGCAAAAAACATCGAAAAAAACAATGAAAATCAACGATTTTGGCCTCTTGGGGCCCTCTTCGGAGGCCTCTTGGAAGGCCCTTGGGGCGTCTTGGAGGCCTCTTGGGCTGTCTTGGGGCCCTGTTGGGCGTCTTCGGGCGATCTTTGGCCGTCTCGGGGCCCTCTTGGACCGTCTTGGAGGCTTCTTGGGGACCTCTTGGCCCGTCCTGGGGCCCTGTAACAGGGCTCCGGCATCTCTGGCCCGACCTTGCCGGGACCTTACGGGGTACTTCTCGTCCGGGGACCCCCAGGGGCCGCCCCGCGCGCGCGAACTAGAAATACTGTTAACCAGGTACCGGAGATCTTAGCACGCCCTGGCCCGTTGGGCCGGCGAATTGCGAAGGCCTTACGGCCGATGCCGCCGACCCTGGAGACAGCGTTTTGTCATTGGGGAGAAATAACAACGCAACAGGGCGTTCTCTTGGAACCGTTTTGGGGGCCTTTTGTGAATCTGGGAGGCGTCTTGGGGCACTTTTGGGCCGTTTGGGGACCCTCTTGGAGGCTTCTTGGGCCGTGTCGGGGCGATCTTGGGAGCCTCTTGGGCCGTCTTGGCGGTTGGGAAGCGGAAGAGGCGAGAACGCCAAAATCCTTGAAAAACGCATGGGACATCCATGATTTGTGCCTCTTGGGGCTCTCGTGGGAAGGGTCCTGGAGGCCTTTTGGGGCGTCTCGCAGGCCTTTTGGGCCGTCTGGAGGCCGTCAAGGCGTCTTGGACAGATCATTCGGCGATTCGGCGCCCTCTTGGATCATCTTGGGGGCCTCTTGGAGCACTCTTGGCCCGTCTTGGGGCCTTTTTGGGCTTGGGGATTCCCCGGGAGGGCGGCGTATAAACCCGGGACCCCCCTCGGGAGCTACCCCGGGACCCCGCCCCCCCTTCCCCGGGAAGGGATCAAAGGGAAGGGGCTTCCCTTCGACTCAAGTACGACGCTCTTCAATCTCGCCTCGGACTGGCGCGCCTCAGAACGAGGCCTTGGGAGAAGGATAGAAGCAACGACGCTGTGGGGAAAGAAGAAGGAACATCGACGACGACGAAGAGGGAGCAGACGGAGAAGCCTCTTCCACACGCCGACAGGGTCGGCGTATTATATTGAAAAAGATATAGGAGGAGGAGGAGGAGGAGGAGGAGGAGGAGGAGGAGGAGGAGGAGGAGGGAGGAGGAGGAGGGGGAGGAGGATGAGAGGAGGAGGAGGAGGAGGAGGAGGAGGAGGAGAGAGGAGGAGGAGGATAGGAGTGAGGAGGAACAGGAGGAGGGGGAGGAGGGGAGGAGGAGGAGGAGAATGAGGAGCACGACGACACGGGGATGGGCGAGGAGGCGAAGGAGGAGAAGGCGGAGGAGGAGGACGAGGAGGGGCACGAGGACACAGGGGATGGGAGGAGGAGGAGGAGGAGGAGGAGAGGGAGGGAGGAGAGGAGGAGGAGGAGAGGAGAGAGGAGAGGAGGAGGAGGCAGGCAGGAGCAGAGGGAGGAGGACAGAAGGAGGAGGAGGAGGAGGAGGAAAGAGGAGAGGAGGAGAGAGGAGCAGGAGAGGAGGAGGAGGAGGAGGAGGAGGGGGAGGAGCGAGGAGGAGGAAGAGGAGGAGAAGGATGACGAGGAGGAGGAGGGAGGAGGAGGAGGAGGAGGAGCAGCAGCATCAGCAGCAGGAGCAGGAGCAGGAGGAGGAGGAGGAGCAACAGGAGCAGGAGCAGGAGTAGGAAAAGGAGGAGGAGGAGGAGCAGCCGGAAGAGGAGGATGAGGACGAGGAGGAGGAGCAGGAGGAGAGGAGGAGGAAGAAGAGAGGGGGACGGACCAGAGTCCCGAAAATAGGAGTCCAGAGCATGCAGTGATGAGTTGCTGAACCTAAGCGCGCGAAGCGCGCGTCTGGTTCTACACACACGTGGCCAGTGTTTCGTGAATTTGATGGGATCTCGCACATCCGCCGTGTGACGTCTCTGGCTCGGCAAATATGCTCGTGCGTTTACATATATTTGATCAATGCGATGGCCACGCCGGCGGTCCCTGAGAAAGGGAAGGATCTTGTCTTGAGCCTTCCTGGTCTCATTATGTAGGTCGTGAGTAAGTTATGTTGGCCTCGTGGCTAGGTGAAGGTATGCCTGTCTGTATGCCTGTCTGTCTGTCTGTGGGCCAGTCTGCATGCATGCATGTATGTATATTATGTATGTATATATGTATGTATGTATGTATGTACGTACGTACGTATGTATGTATGTATGTATGTATGTATGTATGTCTGTATGTATGTAATAATGTAGGTGTATATAGGTGAATGCATTTTTTGTATGCATGCATGCACTTATGTATGTATGTATGTATGGATGCATGCATGTATGTATGCATGTATGTATGTATGCATGTATGTATGTATGTATGTATGTATAGTCGCATGCATGTATGTATGTATGTATGCATGTGTGTATGTATGTATGCATGCATGCATGCATGCATGTATGTATGTATGTATGTGTACACCGTATGTGTGCACATATGTACGTGTGTATACGTGTGAGGATGTGCATGCATGCTTGTGTGTATGTCTGTTTGTCTGTCTGTATGTATGTGTAGGCATGTAGGTGTATGCATGCATTCATGTATGTATGCAGGTATGTATGTATATATGTATGTAGGTATGCATATATGCCCGCTTGTCTGTCTGTGTCTATGTATGCATGCATGAGTGTATGTTTGTATGTATGCATCTATGTATGTATGTGCGCATGTATATGTTGACATGTATGCATGCATGTATTTATGTACGTGTGTGCGCATTCATGCATTTATGTTTGTATGCATGCTTCTATGTATGCATGCATGTCTGTCCGTTTCTCTGTCTCTCTGTCTGTCGTTCTATATGTCTGTTTGTCTGTCTGCCTGTATATATATATGCAGATATGTATATACGTAGGTGTGCACGGTTGTACATACGTATGTATGTATGCATGTATGTATGCACGTCTGTATGGTTGTATGTATGTATGTATGACATGCGTATGTAGGTAGGTATGCATGCATGCATGCATGCATACATGTGTGTATGTACGTGGGTGTAGGTGTGTGTATATATATATATGTATAGGTTCGTATATGTATGTGTGTATGCATGCATGCATGTATGCATGTATGTATATGCATATGTATGTGTATATACGTTGGTACACTTGTATACGCAAGGGTGGGATCACTGTGAGCATTGGAATTGACGTCTGCAAGGTGGATTTCACCACGTAGCTTGCACTGCGGACCAGACACGTACACAGTGTATTCGCGTATTGCTTGGAGTCCGCGATGGCAAACATGTTGATCCATGAGTTTGCATCCGTAGCGAAGTGTTCAGTTGCAGTTCCTGGGAGGTTAAATTCAGCATCGGCGCTGTCTCTTCCGTGGGTCTGATCTGGCTGGGCCCAGCGTAATTTGGACTAGGTCTAACAAGTCCAGCTCCGTTAAGCCGTCTCTTGGGTTTACTCTGGCCTGATCTGGCTTAGTAACCGCGTTCCCGCGAAGACTTTCCAGGAGTTGCCTCCTGAAGACCCATACGCCCGACGATTTTTTGGTTCCCAATCGGCGACCAGCCCCCGACCCTTTGCCCGGGGGCACTTTTCAGTAAGGGGGGCCAGACTTTGATGGTCTGGGGGCCTGGAAGCGGCCCCCGGAGGCAGAACCCGAGGAAGAGCGCCCTGATTGAAAGGATCAATCCTTCGGATATCTGGCGAGTGCATTTTCGGGTGCTCGCACTTGGCCGGTGCTGTTCTTTCTCACAGTGCCGAGGCCCGCCGAGCCTTCGGGGTCGGGCAGCACCCTCGCCGGGTTCGCGCCGCTCGCGCCGTCGACTCATTGAGCGGGCGAGCGGGCGTCCGCAACAGCGCAGCGCCGCCTCGCTCGCTCCTCCTTCGCTGCTCCTGCCTCGCTGCGCTTTCCTCGCTACTCCTCGCTGCCTCTCCTCGCTCTTCTTCCTCCTGCCTCTCCTGATCCTCCTCCTCCTCCTCCTCCTCCTCCTCCTCCTCCTCCTCCTCCTCCTCATCTGCATTTCGCGGCGGGAGCGGCGCTCGCGTGCAGCGGGGGGAGCGCAGGGACGGCCTCAAGACGGGCATGGACGTCCTGAGCCAGGGCGCCGGGCAGGGAGAGCGGTTCAGGGGCGGCAATGCAAAGCGCACTTCTGCGCCTCCCCCTGTGCCCCCTCCTCCCTCCTGGTCCCCTCCCTCCCTCCCTCTGCTCCTGTGCCCCTCCCTCTCCCCCTCTGCCCCTGTTCCTCCCCCTCCTCCCTCTTGGTCCCCCTCTGCCCCTGTTCCTCCCCCTCCTCCCTCTGGGTCCCCTCCCTCCCTCCCGTCCTCCATCCCCCTCCTTTCCTCCCCCTCCTCCCTCTTGTCATGGCGCCAACATCGCAGAGCGGAATTCGTTCGGACAACAATAGGGTGGGCCCGGGGTGTCCGTTCCGTATTTCGGTTTGAGTTTCGTGGGGATTTTTTGGGCCAGGAGTGAAGACAAAAAAGAATCCATGGGAAATTCACTTCGCTTTTCGCTTGCAGCTTCGGGCAACAGTCCACGCAGAAATCCAGGCAGAAATCCGTTGCAGCACGTCTGCAAGGCCGGTGCACCGACTCTTGGTCCCCTCCCTCCCTCCCAGCCTCCCTCCCCCTCCTTTCCTCCGTCGCGGTTTCTGTTGGCTCAAGGTCTGGAGCTTCCTCTTGTGGACCCGCTGGGCACCGCTGCTCCGTGATTTCGGTCCAGGCGCCCCGGCCCGAGCTGGGTGCGTGGGTGCTGGTTCTCCCCTGCACTCGGCATTGATTGCTGGCCAGTTCGCCCTGGTCAGCACAGTTGCTGTTGCCCCAGCTTCACGATCTCGACTCCACACGCCGACGGTCAAATGAGGCAATCAGCTGCAGCAGTACCTGGTCTGCAGCACGTGTCGATACCGTTGGAAGTTCAGGCCCAACAACTAGTGCTGCCAGTGCTGCAGATGTGCAGGTCCCTTGGTGGAGTTGAGTTCTGGTCCCGGCACGGTCGGCCGCAGGGCAAGTGGGCACAAGGCCTGCTGGTGCTTCAGGACAAGGCGGCGGGTGAAGAGGCTCCCCCAGGTGGCAAGGGGGATGGCAAGAAGTCTCCCACGCCGCCGAAGCCGAAGGCCGCTCCTCCAGTGCGTTGTCCCTAGTTGTGGAATGATTCGCAGTGGAGGGGGCAGTATCAAGGAAGGGGCGGCTCGTCATCGGGTTCGGAATGCGTGGCCCCGAGCCTGGTCGAGCAGTGACGTGCGAAGCTCGGCGAGTGCGAGGAGGTCACAAAGGCGGCGAAGTCGCCCACGCCGGCTGTGCCACGTACCCCAGTGCTGGGGGAGGAAGTGTCGACGAAAGGTGTCGCCTGCCGTCGCGCCCAGTCGTGGTCAGCGGCGTGCTCGGCGCAGGCGCTCGGAAGAGAGTCGTGGCTTGAAGAGGCTCAGGTCAACGAGTCGAAGGCACGGCAGTCGGCCTTCGAGGCCAAGCGGCAGTGGGAGGTGGCGTGTGCCAAGAGGTTACCACAGGCGCTAGCAGCGGCAGCGACGGCCGCGCCACCAGCTGCGCCCGCGTCGTCGGCCATCAGCCTCCTTGCGCTCGGCGAGGGTAAGGAAGCCGCTCTCACCATCGTCGGGGGCCACCTGTTCGGCAGCGAGCTCGACCTGGACGATGCCGATCGCAAGGAGTGGGAGCCAGCGGTTTGCAAGTAGAGGTCGCCAAAGCGCACGGCTCCGTTGCCCAGAGCAATGCAGCCCTCAAGGGGCCCAGGAGCTCACTGCCCGCCCTCAGACTAAGCGAAGGTGTGTCCCCAGTGGCGAGCCCACCGTTGGCGGCGGAGTCGCGGGGAGCAGCGGGTCGGCAGGTGCGGTGGCCTCTGTGGGTGTGGAGGTGCCCGTTCTTGGCGGTAATGGCGATGGCTTGTCTGATGTGCCCGCGCCGGGCGCGGAACGTCTCCAGACAGCAGCGCGTGCCGAGGCTACAACGGCTTGGAAGCACTGCAGCAGGCTGGATGCCCTTGTGCTGAGCACGTCGCCCTTCCTATGGTCAGATGGGCTGGTATTTCAGGCTGGCTTTTGTCCGTGCTGCGCAGAGTTTTTGTTTCACCGAATCTGAGACCATCCAGCTCGGTGAGATCCATCCCCTGGGTCTTGAGGCTGGGGGGTCCTGGGAGTTTGCTGGCCAGCGTGACGACGACATCGCGAGCGTGCCTATTTCCCATCTTGTTGGCGAGGAGCGAGCGGGACGTGCAGCTCTGAGCTCGTGCCCATTACGGTCCTATGCCAGTCGTTGGCCCAGCTGTATCTCTGCAGGTCAGCATGAGGGCTATCAGTCTCCTGAGCACGGGGACATCCTCCTTGCGCCTGAGGAAGAGGTTGCACAGGGCGATGGGTGCCCGCGACTCCTGGGGGCGAGCCATAGTCAGAACAGCGATTCAGGACCCATTTCTTTGGGTGCTGGTGTTATCAGGCGATCGCAAACATGGATCAAGGGGGCACGGATTAGCGAAGGGTCCCGTTTCCATGGGAAATCGCGGATTTCCGCCGCCGAACGAGGCGGCGCTGGCAGCATTTTTGGCAGGGCACCTCCCCCGATCCATGGATTTGGCGACCGCGCGCCAAATCCATGGATCGCTAATCCATGTTTGCGCGCCCCCGATCTTAGGTCGGGGCAAGATTGCGGACGTCTGTCCAAGAAGCCGAACCCACTTGGGATCAGGAGGGGGGCTCTGCCATCGAGCCCTTGCAGTGGTCCCGCCGCCCGACGGCGCCTGTTCTTGCGAGGCGAAGCGGGAGGCTCTTCTTTTCGCCCGAGTCTGGGGGGGTTCCCACGAGAGTTAGGTTTTACAGTGCCGTTTTTAATACATGCTCCGCGTGCGGATCATGTATGAAAAATGCAGGGATTGAGTATTGAAAACAACGATGAGTTCATATATGAATTTATTCATACATTAATCATGGATTAAAATCAAATATTTTTCAAAATCCGATGTATTAGAAACTGCCCTGTAGGTTCCCAGGTGCAGCGTCGCCGCGCTGAAGTTAAGAGAGCAAATCCTGGGGCCGCCTGCGCTCCAGGACCAGCGTCGCCATGCTGCCAGTGTTTCCGGCCTCGGTGGAAGCGTTGGCGACGCGACAAGAACGGCTTCCCTTCGGTCAGCGGCGCGCGGCAAGACGCAGCATTTTGATAACGGGGGCGTGCTTGCTCCCTGGTCTTGGCGCGTCGGGGTGCAATGGTTTTTTGCTGGTCGTGGTCCGTTTTCTGGTGAAGTGTTTGGCCGGTCCTTGGATTATAGTGGGGGGCTGTGGTCTGCCCCCGCGTTCTCCCAACAGCTCAGGCTGGCCACTCAAGATTGCGTGCGAAGTTTTGGTCCTTGACAACTGCGCTGCCACTTGCGACACGGGTGCGCGGGGCGGCCTCGATTCTTTTGAATTTGCCCGCCTTGAGTATTGTGCTCGAGTCCACGTTTCGGGGTCGTTCGGCGGACGCCCCGCGCGGGTCCTCGGGTCGCGCTCCGGGGCGCGTTCCAGGCATGGTAGCACATGGAGTTGGTCGCTTTCGACCGCTTGCGCACTCTTGGCTGGGTCCGCGTGGCCCCCAGCCCCGAAAGCGAGCGGCCTCGGCCGCGGGCTGAGGCCTTTGGTCGAGCGCGGGCCCAGATCCGCCTCACAACTCCAGGACGAGTTTGGTACGATGCCTGGGGGGGCCCCTCCTTGAGCGCAAGCAGGTCCTTGACCACTGGGTTCGCATCGAGACATCCTCGGTGCGGCTCCCACTGAACGGTCGGAGCATGCATCCGCCGAGCGCTCATGCTACTTGGCCGAGTGCACACCTTAGACGAGCTCGTCACTTGTGTTCCGAAGCCCACTGCGCCAATGCCGAAGTGGCTAAACAATGTTGCACGCTTCCGGCGCGCACCTCCTCTCATCTTGCGTTGGTTCCCCAAATTTGTTCTGAACATCTTCCGCCATGTCTGGCCACCATTTTGATTATTACGTTTCGTGTCCTTTTTCGCATCATGTTCCAAGTCTGCTTTCAGTGGCATGGCGTCTGTGTTCAGCGCGTAGTCGACCGCTCCATGAAACATGGCGGTCTCTATACCCAGTGTTGGCATCTGTTGGAACCGCTTGAAGATTCGGGGACAGGCACCTGGCGCGGAGGGTGAAAGCCTTTCCGCTATTTTCACATGCCCGGGTACGGCATGAAGGAAGTGCTGTGAATTTGACTGGTTGGCTGGTTGATTGGGCTTGGAGGTTGGACTTGCATCTGTTGTTTCTGTCTCGGAACCAGAGCCTGATGGGCACATGCAGTCATCCATTGGCGTGAGGTTCGAACTCGCTAAGGAATCAAGGGTGCAGGCAATGTCACCCAACGTGCTGCCCGAGGTTACGAAAAAACATCGCTGCGCGTGATCGCTGCCACATTCCAGTTCCCCCTCCTGGGTGGTGTGGTGTGGACTCCTGGGTCCTTCTGGGCCTCCTGTGGCCTTCAGGGCCTTCTTTTTGTGCTCGCTCTTGGGCCTTTTGTCACCCCCCCTTTGCAGTCTTTTCGGGCCGAGAAGAAGGAGGACGAGGAAGAAGAGGCGGAAGAGGAGGATAATGATGAGGAGTAGGAGGAGGAGAACGAGGACGAGGAGGAAGAGGAACAGCAGGACGAATAATGGAGGAGGTGGAGGGGGCGGACGAGTAGGAGGAGGAGGAGGAGGAGGGGGAGGAGGAGGAGGAGGAGGAGGAGGAGGAAGAGGAGATGACGTATGAGGACGAAAGCGCTGTCCTTTTTACTGCGCAGGCGGCCGGCCGCGCCCCAATATAGGCTAGGCGTATCCGAGGAAAAGGACGAGGAGGGGATTATGATGATGGTGATGGTGACGGTGGTGGTGATGATGACGACGGCGGTGATGATGTTGATGACGACGATGCTGTGATGCTGATTATGAGGGTTATGATCAGAATGAGGATGAGGACTGGGGTTCTGATGATGACGAGGGTGATGAGGATGATGAGGATCAGGACGAGGATGCGGATGGTGATGCTGGCTTGTAAAGATGATTGCGTTGATGGTGGTGATGGTGATGATGGCATCGACAATGATGATGATGATCATGATAATGATTATGATTATGGTGACGGTGGTGGAGATGGTGATAGTGATGATGATGGTGAAGGTGATGATGATGGTGGTGCTGGTGACGATGATGACGATTGCGTTGATGATGATGCGGATGATGAGGCTGATGCTGGTTGTGATGATGATGTTGATGATGATGAAGATGCTGACGATGATCATCATGATGATGGTGATGGTGATAGTCATGGTCATGGTACTGTAATGATTATACGGATGATGATGGTGATGGTTATGATTATGATTATGCGGATGCTGAGCTCATGCGGATGCTTCTCATGATGATGCTGATGCTGATTATGCTGCTGATGATGGTGATGGTGATCGTGCTGATGATGGTGATTATGATGATGATGATGCTGATGGTGATGATGATGATGATGATGGCGATGGTGATGGTGATGAGGACGACGGGGATGATGATGTTGTTGTTGACGATGACGATGATGCTGATGATGGCGAGGGTGATCGTGATGGTGATTGTGATGGTGATGGTGATCATGATGAGGATGACTTTGCTGATGGTGGTGGTGATGATGATGACGATGATGATGTTGATGATGCTGATGATGATGATGGTGATGGCGATGGTGATGGTGATAATGTTGGTGCTAATGACTACGACGATGCTGATGCCGATGCTGACGCTGCTGATGATTATGTGTATGATGATGATTGTGCTGATGATGATGGTGATGATGGTGGTGGGAGTGGTGGTGTGGATGATTATAATGCTGATGCTGATGGTGATGGTGATGAGGACGATGGTGATGATGGTTATGATGATGATGATGGTGATGGTGATGATGATGATGGCGATGCTGATGATGATGATGATGATGATGATGATGATGATGATGCTGTTGATGATGGTGATTCTGATGATGAGGGTGTTGATGAGGGTGATGAGGATGACGATGGTGTTGCTGATGATGCTGGTCATTGTGATCTTGATGATGCTGGTGGTGACGGTGAAGATGATGTTGATGATGATGATAATGATGATGTTGCTGATGATGATGGTGATGATGATGATGTTGTTGTTGTTGCTGATGATGATGAGGAGGATGCTGCTGCTGATGATGATGAGGAGAAGGAGGATTTGGAGGAGGAGGAGGAGAAGGAGAGGAGGAGTATTGGGGGGAGGAGGGAGGAGGAGGAGGAGAGGAGGAGGAGGAGGAGGAGGCCGAGGGCGATGACGAGGACGAGGGCGAACATGAGGACGAGGTGCTGGGACATGAGGTAGGAGGACTCGTCCACCTTCTGCCCACCCCACGCATGGGCCGCAGAGGCTCCAGCACGTGATGCTCTTCACCGATGGCCGCGCCCGCACAACCCGCGCCGCTTAGTGTGGATCAGAAACCCAAGACAACGGAGGGGGGAAACGCGGGAGGTTGGAGGAGGAGGAGAAGGAGGAAGATCAGGAGGGTCACAAGGAGGGGGAGGAGGAGGAGGAGGAGGAGGAGGAGGAGGAGGAGGAGGAGGAGGAGGAGGAGGAGGATCAGGAGGAGGATCAGAGGAGGAGGAGATCGAAGGGGAGTGGGTGCACGTGCACATGCGCATGTAAATGCTAACAGATGTGATGTGATCCGTCCCCCCCCTCTGCCCCCCTCCTCCCCCCCCTCCCCTCCCCCCCCCCTCCCCCCCTCCTCCCGCCCCCCCCCTCCTCCTCCTCCGCCTCCTCCTCCTCCTCCGCCTCCTCCTCCTCCTCCTCCTCCTCCTCCTCCTCCCTCTCCTCAGCTGCATTGCGAGGTGGGGGCGCAAACGAAGCTAAAAGTATAGCTGGCGCGCTCGCCAAGAGGGGGGGTGGCCTACCACTCCGCAGTGGAGCAAGCGGCCGAGGAGATTGCTGGCCCCCCTTCTTGGGTCGGGAGGCGGGCCAGCGGGTTGGGCGGCAGGGGGCTGCTCCAGGCGGACGGGGCCGGTGGGGCCCCGAGGGCCTGCCCGAGAGCGGGGGTGGAGTCCCCGCTGGGCTCTGGAGTGCGGCCCAGGAGCCGCCCCGCCGGGGCCCCACCAGGCCGTGCTCAGGGCTGTCTCGGAGGGCCCGCCCCCCCCACCTCCGACCTTGAGCTGGCCACGCTCTTGTGCGGTGGCGAATTATGGGAGCCTTGTATACCCTCTGAACTCGTTTTTAGCGTCGGCTAGCGCCGATTAGCGTCTGGTAACCGATGAGATAGCGCCAATGTGGCGTCGATTCAGCGTTGACTAGCGTCGATCAGCTCAACAAGATGTTATGGGAGGCTCCCATGGGTTGTCACCGAACCTTGCAGCCGTGCGAGCATAGTATTCGCGCGCGCATGGCGCTTCATGCGCGGGGAGCCTCTGTGGTCGCCGCCCCGCGCTTCGTGTGCCGGACGTCGTGCGGCGTCCGTTCGTTGGCCTCCTTCGGGTGCCCTGGCATGCTTGCGGGGTCGGGTCTGAGGCAGCAGGGGGGGAGGCTCCTTGCTGGCCGCTTCCCCCAGGCGGCTCACCGGGCACCAGGGTCGGACGGCTGGGGTCCTGAGGAGGCCCCCCCCTCCCAGGACCCCCTGGACCTGGCCAGGCCCATCCTGGCGCGTGTGGCGCTGCCGACGGCTGGGGCTGTCTTCCCCCGCGGCCCACCCCTGGCTCGCGCAGGTGGGCCGCGGGCCCCTCCTCCCTCCTCAAGTTTGGCCCGGCCGCAGCCAGACTTCCTGGCACCGGGAGCAGGAGGCTGAGGCGCGCCGCCCCCTTCAGGCGGGCCAGGCGGAGGGCGACGAGGAGAGGTAGTTCGTTTCTGCTTGTATCCCGCCGTGTCTGTCGTGGGCTGCTCGGCTCTCTTCTTCTCTTCTGCCACGCACCCTGTACCATCCTAGTCGGCCCTGTTTTACATTACGATACATCTTCTAACAATATGCCGCCTCAATGTATCATAGCACATGTCATATCATATCATATCATATACTATACGTTTCGCCGGTATTACCACGTCTCACACCACCAAGTATACTCTTCCATCGTACCCTACGGTCTATTATCTTGTCGGGTCTTACCACCGCTGCTCTTATCTCATGTTATTACATCCTCTTCCACTTCTTCCTCCACTCGCGCTGCTTCCCATTCCCCTCCCCGTGCTCCTCCTCTTCCCTCGCGTTGCCCACCCGTCCCTCCATGCCCTCGAACGCGTGAGCCGAGGCCTGCCCAACATCAACCCGCCGCGGGGCATACTGCCGATGCTGAAGCGGCGCGCGGGGGTCGAGCGGGATCGATGAGTCCGAAGTCCCAGAGAGGAGGTATACGAATAGGTTGGATGGGAGTGGGGAGGAGTAAGCGAAGAAACGATACCGAGGTGAGGGGGATGGGGAAGAGGAAGGGGGCTAAAAGGGAGGAAGAGGAGGGGGATGGTGATGATGGTGATGGTGGTGATGATTCTGATGTGGTGTTGGTGATGATGGGCATGGCGGCGCTGGGGAAGATGCGGGTGGTGGTGTTGATGATTGTGCTGATGATGGTGGTGCTGCTGTTGCTGCCGATTAATATGAAGAAGGCAATGCGGATTATGACGATCATAGGATTGGGAGGAAGAGGATCTGAATAATGGGGAGGAAGGTTCAAGAAACCAACATATGATGAGGAGGAGGAATAGGAGGAGAAAGAGGGAGAGGAGGAAGAGGAGGAGGATGCGGTGGTGGTGGTGCTGGTGGGGAGGATTCAGAGGGGGACGGTGAGAAGGATGAACCGGAAAGAGTCCGTAGCCATTTTGGCTCAAGCCATTTTGGCTCAATCCGTGCGGCAGGCTTAAATGGTTGCGGCGTGTGTTCCACCTGGTGAGGCAGCGCCCACGTCCCCAGGTCGCTTTCCGTGAGCTCCTGCAGGAGCACCCAGCACACCCGTGAGGAGGCGCCGCGCTGTGCATGGCGAAGCCGCCGCCCACGGATGTCTTGCTGGGACCCAAAGAACCCTGCTGGGAGTGCGGGGCCTGCCATGGAGCAGGGAACTGGGCCAGGAGGTTTGTGTGTAAGTGCGGAGCCAAGGTACCCCCCAAAGTTACCGCTGCTGCCAAGAAACCACATGAGGAGGCGGTGGCAGCTAAGAAGGAGACTGGCGGAGGAGGAGGTGGAGGTGGACCCCGCCCTTCCCCCACCAATCGGTGGGGGGATGGAGATACCTTGGCACATATCCTCAGGAAACTGGAGAACCTCGAAGCAGCTTCCCCGTCCCAGTCCCCTTCAGAACCAGAACCGCAGCGGCTGCGGGAGGAGGAGGGGGCGAAGAAAGAGGTGGCCAGGAAGGAGGAGTCTCTGAAGGGAAGCCTGAGGAGAAGGAGGATCACATTAAAATTATTCAGGCCAGTCTCGCGCTTGGGAAGAACAGCGCCAGGCTTGCTGTTAGCGAGGCGGACAAGAGCATTGACGATGACACGGTCAAGGAGCTGGGGAGCCAGCTCCGCGAGGCACGCCCTTGGAGCGTCAACCAGCTTAGCGTTTCACAGCGCCTCGAGCAGGCGACGAGTAATCTGGCCGCAGTGCAGAGGGCGGCGACGGCTACGGAGGTGGAGGTGGAGCAGGCAACGGTACTCTTGGCACGGAGGATGCATTTGGCAAGGGCTCAGGTGGAGGAGGCTAAGGAGGAGGTATCCAAACTGGATGAGGAGGCTGAGCAGTCACTCGCGCAGATCGTGCGGACTTCGCCAGGTCCCCCTATCCTCTCGCTTTCTCTCCTGGAACGGGCGGCGGCGGCCGCGGCCAGCTTCGGTGGAGAATTCCAGGCATGGTTGCAGCAAGCTGATCATATCCCATATATGACCCAACTCATCAAAGTCTTCGAAGCTCAGGTACACGAGCAATGGAAGGTCCAGCTTGCCACTCACGTTCTGTCTGTTGGTGCTCAGTGCATGTCTGCTAGGGGGACTGCTGCGCGCACGGCAGCCCAGAGCGAAGCTGAGGACGACGATATGTTGTCAGCCCTGGGACCCGAGGACTGGAAGCTGTCGGAGGAGCAGTTTGCGTCGATTTCAGCAACAGCAGCAACAACAGCAGCAAAAATCAGGAGGGGGGATTTCAGCAGCGACAGATGACGAGGCAGGAGGAGGTGGAGGAGAAGCGCAGGCCAAAGCCATCCAGCAGACGAGAGCGAGAGAGGCTTAAGGAGGCAGCTAAACTCCTTCACCAGAAAGGTTTCGTCATCAAGAAAACGAAGGCAAGCTCGCCGGGTAGGGGCCAGGATCCCCAGGCACCTAGTAGTAGCGCGCCCGCGGTTGGGAAGCGTTCTCGGCCAGTTAGGGCGCGCAAGGATGCTGAGGAGTTCGGTTTTTTCCCTTGCAACGGCAACGCCTGGGAGTCCAGCGGGACGGTGCTCGACTGGAGGTCAGAGCGAGGGGAGCGGCTGCCTCAGTTTTTAGCCTTGAAGGAACGCGTGTGTTTGGCGAGAACAAGATGCAGTCGATGTTGGGAACTCTGCGGGCCTCTAGGCATTTTGGCCACGCGGCTGCAGCGGTGTCTAGTGGGGAGCGCAATCTGGCCATCTCAGCGGGCGTCTTGGTGGCCACGAAGGCCCATGTCAATCGGGTTCCTGTATCTGACGAATAGTTTTAAACGCCTGTGCGGAGTGGGGGATGGACGCATCGTGGCCGATAAAGTGGGGGCAGGGGTCCCTCAGGGGATCGTCTGGATGTCTGGGCACTTCCACGTAGGTATGGGGTGCTCTTGGGCGAATCTGGACTTGCTTGAAGGTTTTTTTTTCTTTTTTGCATCGACGTCGTGTTCCTCGGGTCCTTGCACGCGACGCCAATCCGCGCGCCCGGGGGCCTGCGCTGCGCCAGCGGTGTGCCGTGATAGGCGCAACAGTGCTGCAACCGCCAGTCAGTGCGTGCGTGGCGGGCGAGGGCAGCCATGTCGTTTTTTTCTGCATTGTCTCACGCGGCCTCGAGACTTGCGTTGCATCGTGCAAAGCGTGGCAGACAGCGCCGAGCAGCCCGCGCTCTCCCGCGGTGCCCTGGCTACGAGGCGTTGCTCTCAGTATAGCAGTGCAGGTTCGCTCCGCTTGGAAGCTATTCCCGACCGAGCCCAGCGTCGGGCGCTGCAAACCCCATCTGATAAGAATAGAGATTGGGAGAAGGGGCGCTGGGAAGGCATAGGGCTCGAATGGTTATGGAGGCGCCGGGCTGGGAGATCCGACGTCGCTGGGGAGGAAAAGGGCAAGAACATCGGGAGGGCGACGGGGTTCAGGAGGGCAGTGGTGCAGCGCGAATCCCTTTTAGCCAAGGAGTGGGACTGCCGCAGTTCCACGGGGGCCCGCGCCTGGAGGACGCCCGTGGCCTATCAGTATTTTACAGATGGATGGCCCGCGCCGTTGCGACGATGAGTGGGCAGCTAGTGCAGCGATTTCATGCAGTGCCCGAGGACCTGTTGCAGCCTCGCCCCAGTCGCATTGCTCCTAGCATGACATGCTTAGTGCGCAACTTGCAGGAGAGAGGAGAAGAGGAGGACAGATGGGCCCTAGGGCCCACTCAAGAGGCGCAGGAGAAGGCGCTCCAGCAGGACTCCGCGAGGCAGTGGAAGGCTTGGAAGGAGTGGGCCCAGGAGGCGGCCAATGGAGGAGGTAAGAAAGCACATCGATGCGCTAAGGGACCTGAGGTCACGGCGGGCCCTACTGGGCCTGACGAGTGGAACTTGCAAGGTGATCAAGCGGCGGGGGCGATGATGAAGGAGTGGGGCGACACCTGGTCTGAGCTCGGACCCGATATCAGCGCCGGTCAGGAACGCCGGCTTAATGCAGCCCCCTCTTGCCACTGCCAACGGTGGAAGAGCTGAATCACGTTCTGAAGAGGTTCCGTCGCGACGCGGGGTTAGGGTGTGACGATGATCGCCCCGGGAGCTGTCTGATGTTGCCTGGCGCATGCCTCTCGAGTCTGATAGATATCATCATGCCGCGGGAGGCTGGTCTCGCCATGTCGATGGAGCGACCCATCATTATTGTCTTTATGGTGACGGAGTTCGGCTTACTGCCTTGATTGCATTTCTAGTCCGCGCGCGGGCTTGGCCGGGGCAGGGCAGCCGATTGCGAGGGCGTGGAAGGAGAGGCATAAGAGCGAATGCTTTTGGGGGGTGCGGGACAAGTAGTGTGACCGAGCCAGTTATCAACGCAATCTTCTAGCAGCGTATGCTACTGTGGCGGGTATGTCCTCCGCTGCCTTGTTCGCCGACTTGCGCAAAATTTACGAGCGCGTAGCGCGCGGTGTTTTGGTCAAGGAGGGCATGACCACCACCTTCGACGATCGGCTGCTCGAGGCCGCGCTCGCGCTGCACTCGGGTCCACGGGTATTTTCTTTCCAGGGGCGACTTCCGAGGTGTTCGAGGTGCCTGGGGCCGTTCTGGCAGGATGCAGCTTGGCGATGTCACTAGTACAAACCATATGTACCGTGCGCTAACCAGAATCGCGAGCGCACATCCAGCAGCCTACATTCGGAACGTTGTAGACGACATCTCGGCGCAGTTGCTGGGAACTGAGTTGTGCATGAGCAAGCAGATGTCCGAGATAGGTCGCGAGCTTGCGCGGGCTTTCAAGCAGCTCCAGCTCGTCTTGCCAGGTAAGAACAACCACTGCGCAGCTTCCACTAGCTGCCTCGGCGATCGGCTGACTCAGGTGTGGAAAGCCCACGGTTTCCAACGCAAGGTCGTTTTCGAAGTCTAGGATGTGATGTTCGAGCAGGACGGAAGGGGCCAACGCCCAACGGTAAAGCTCAGGACCCGAAAGGGTGGCAGAGGAGCGAGGGGGGTAAGGAGGTTAATGAGGTTGAGGATAGCAGGCAGCCGGATAGGAGGCATACGTAGGGCAGGGCCCAGGTCGCGCTCCAATGGGGGCGGGCCATCTGGGACAGCATAGCGAAGCGTGAAGTTCAGGAGACAGTACACAGACATGCCCTGCACGACCTTAGGAGTTCTAAGGTCACGTGGGCCCAGGCGTATAATCCTGCTCATGTGTATGTTCTTACGCGATGGGAGATTGGATGGCAGTCAGTTTCGGCTCGCTTGATACGCACCAACGCAGGCCATAGTGAATTGACTTCTTCCCGTTGGCGCCTGTGGCGGTCAGCCGATTGGCCCGAGAAGCTGCCAGGGGTCGATCGGGCACCGACGCGCTGCGGTTGAGGGGCTGCAGCTGGTCGCGGCGCCGCCCCGCACTCTGGGATGGAGTGTGGCAGTTGTGCGGCAGCACGGTGCGTGCTGGCTGGCATGAACGCAGAATTGCTCGCGATCTTCCCTGTCCCGCGCCGCGTGGACAACGGGCAGAAATGTGCGAGCGCAAACTGGCGGGGGGCGATGCTTGTGCGTTGCGCAGTAGCCAGTGTGGCACTCTTTCCCGCGAACGTTTCGATTGCGATGCGCGGCGGCCCCTCCGCCGAGACACTCGTTCGGATGAAGTAGTGCAAGCGGCGCATAACATCCAGAGATGGAACCAATATTGTCGGACATTTGCTCCAGGTATCCTACCGCTCCCCAGGGGGGGGTCATCTCCACGCCGATGCTCAGCCATGAGGCAGGTATCTGTTGGGTCAACAGACCAGCGGGCGGATACCTCATTGGCAAACTGAGATTCGCTGACGGCTCTGCGACGCACCCGAGTTCGAGATAGTTCCGAAGGGCTGGGTGGGCATTGGTGATGATGGATGCAGATGGCAGTGCGGCGTACGGAGCGGCGCTAGCAGATGTATGCCCATTTCAGTAGTCTCGCGACGCAGGGGGTTATGCTATACCGATGGCCGCCCAATGCTAGTTCGGCGAAATTGCAATACAGAGTGACTGCAGCGGCACGCCCCCGTGTGTATGCAATAGGACGCGGCAAGTGAGTAGCATGAATGAGCGCGCGCACATGTGGCAGCGCATTTGACATGCTTTTGAGGATGGCTTATACGCCACCAGAGTCAAAGCGCACAGCGCGATAATAGATGTCAGAGAGGGCCGCGCGACTGGAATTATCAAGCGCGCCAATGATAAAGCGGATGCGCATGCAAAGCTCGGAGCGTTGCGCCATCCAGCCATATATTTTTTTGTTTTAAAAAAGGCCCTCGCGGGTTTCTCTCGGGAGCTTGGGTGGGGTGGGCGGGGTGGGGCGTGGTGGCGGCGGTGGTGGTGGCGGTGGTGGTGGTGGTTGTGTGCGTGTGTGTGGGGGGGGGGGGATTGGGCCCCAGGATGCCCGCCATGCCAGGCGCCAGATGCGTGGCACCATCGAATTTCCCGATCGCGACGCTAAACGTAAGAAGGCCACGCGACGCGCGGCAAACTCTCGTTTTCATGACATCATCGAACTTGATGCCACGGGGTCGCGTGTTGTTTTCCGACCCTGGAATCTGAGTCGAATCGTCGCCCAGAGCTAGAAATCTTTATCTTGTTAAAGTGACATGCGCTCCGAGTGGCATCTGTCTTTGATGCCAACGGCGCGCTTGTCCACGGGAGGAGTACAGTTGCGATGTGCACTAAGTGCAACGGGTGCGCGTTGGGTGGGGCCGATTCCTTGGCCAAGAGATGTCAGGAGCCCACCCACCCGATGGGGAGGCAGCGGGGGAGGATGGAGAAGGGTTTTTTTCCAAGTTGGGAGGTCCAATACCGTGGCTGGACGACCGGACCACTGAGGCCGCCCAGGAACATGGAGCTCGACCACCTCGCGAAGCGAGGGGTTCGAGCCCCTCCCCCGACCGACTCCCCGCTTGCTGGTGGAGGGCGGAACCCACTCCCAGAAGAGCGTTGGACCGAACCTGCGCTTCTCGCAAGGTCCGGACTAGATGCTAATTTGCGTGCGCGTATGATGGCCCAGGAGCGTCCGACCTCGATTTAGACGCTGGATGGTAATTTGTTACGTTGTTGGGTTCGGTGGCACAGACGCCTTCTCCGCATGATGCTGGTACTGCGAAGGATGGGAAGGAGAAGGGGGGAAGGATGAGGGCGGTGATGGGAGGGGGTGGGAAGGGGGGGGAGGGAACGGGGGAGGAGGAGAAGGAGAAACATCAGGACAATAAGGAAGAGGCAAGAGGAAATATGAAGATGGAGCAAGGAGGGGGAAGAGGAGAAGGAAAGGGAAACAGAAGGAGGAGGAGGAGGAGGAGAAGAGGAGGGGGAGGATGGGGCGAGCGGGCTGCTGCTGCTGCGGAGGAGGAGGAGGAGAGAGGAGGGGATTAGGGGACGAGGAGGAGGAGGAGGAGGAGGAGGAGGAGGAGGAGGAGGAGGGGGAGGAGGAGGAGGAGGAGAGGAGGAGGAAGAGGAGGGAGGAGGAGGAGGAGGGGAGGGGGGAGGAGGGAGGAGGAGGAGGGAGGAGGAGGAGGAGGAGGAGAGGAGGAGGAGGGAGGAGGAGGAGGAGGAGGAGGAGAGATTTGAGGAGGAGAGAGGAGGATGATGATGGGAGGAGGAGGAGAGAGGAGGAGGAGGAATGTGAGAGGAGGAGGAGGAGGAGGGAGGAGGAGGAGGAGGAGGAGGAGGAGGAGGGGGGGAGGGGAGGAGGAGGGGGGGGAGAATGAGGAGGAGGAGGAAGGAGGAGGAGGAAGAAAAAGACGAATACGAATACTACAATTAATAATACGAGCAATACTACCAATACCATTATTATTATTATTATTATTATTAATAATACAGAAAACTGATACTAACGACGCTAACAAATTAATACAAACAAGAAGCACAATCACACTAGTAATGATAACAATAATAATGACGATTATAATAACACTAGTGATACTACTACTACTACTAACAATAACAATGATACTACTAAGGTTAAGAATACTACTAGTAATAACAACAATACTAATAACACTAACAATAATAGCAGTACTAGTGGTAGTATGTATTCTAGAAATAAGAGTAATACGAACATGGTAATAATAATCATAAGAATACTGATAGTAATGAGAAAGAAGAAACCTAATAGTACTACGAACGATGATGATAATACTAATAATAACAATAATAGTAGTAATAATAATAATAATAATACTAAGAAGAAGAAGAAGGGGAGGATGAGGAAGAGGAAGAGGAGGAGGAAGAGGAGGAGGAAGAGGAGGAGGAGGAAGAGGAGGAGGAGGAAAAGGAGGTGGACGAGAATGATGATGGTTGGGAAGGATTTCGAAGACCCAGAGGCTGCCAGTGCCTACCTCCCCTGTCCTCCTCCACCTTTTCCTCCTCCTCCTCTTCCTCCTCTTCCTCCTCCCCCTCCTTACCTTCGCACTCCTATCACCGCACTTATCCTCTCTCCCTCCGTCTTCCCTTATGGGGTGGCTTCGTCTCCCTCTTCTTGCCACCGTCCCGTACATGCGGGGTACGTCGACCAGGTAGCGTAGTGGAGATTTGACGAGCCCCAGGCAGGTGCTCCCTGCTCCCCCCCTTCCCTCACCGCTGGGAGTCTCTGAGCCGCCTCTCCTGCCTCGCTCTGGCCGGGGTCTCGAGGAGGAGCCTGCTTGAGGAGCTGATGTTTCCGAAGCGAGGTTCGAGCGGGTTCTTTGCGCTGCCTTTGGTTCGTTTCGCGCGCCAGGTGTGGGGTCCCAGCGCCGCTCCACGAACTCCGCACTGTCCTCCGAAATATCTCAGCTCTGCAAGCCCTCCCTTCCGTCCCCTCCAGCGCCGGCGGTCGGACTTCAGAACCGTCGCAGCAAAGTCGCTTCCAAACCCTACCTGGGATCGTGGCCACTTGCTAAAGAGAAGCTGCGTTCGAAGCTTCCGCATGCCAGCTCAATTGGAGCACACCTACCTACCTACCTACCTCCTCCTGCTCCTCCTTCTGTTCTTCCAGCGTCGCTTCCGCATATCCTCCTCCGCTTTTCTTCTTACACCCTCCCGCTCCTCCTCGGCACTGCCCCTCCTCCTTCTATCTCCTTCTTGCTCCCGTGGGCCATAGCCGTTTTGGCTCAAGGGATAACATCTGCAGCCTCCGACGATCCACCTGCACCAGTGAGGCTAAAGATCTGTAGCCATGGGCCGCATGTATGGCAAGGGTAAGGGCATCTCCTCCTCAGCGGCACCGTATCGCCGCAGGCCTCCCACCTGGCTGAAGATGAAGTCTGAGGACGTCGTGGATCACATCTGCAAGCTCGCCAAAAAGGGCCTGACGCCATCCCAGATCGGAGTGACCCTGCGCGACAGCTTCGGGGTGCCGCAGGTGAGGTACGTTTCTGGTAACAAGATCCTGCGGATCCTCAAGCTGAACGGCATGGCACCAGAGCTGCCCGAGGACCTGTACTACCTCATAAAGAAGGCGGTCGCGATTCGCAAGCACCTGGACAAGAACCGCAAGGACAAGGACTCCAAGTTCCGCCTGATTCTGGTTGAGAGCAGGATCCACCGCCTGGCCAGGTACTACAAGCGGGTCAAGTCGCTCCCGGCCACCTGGAGGTACGTGTCCGCCACGGCGTCCACGCTGGTGGCGTGAGCGGGGCGGCGTTCGGTGCGGGCGCCGCAGGAGATGCTCGACCCACGGCCACGTCCTCGTCCAACTTCGTCCTCGTCCCTGACTCCGTCGTCGTCCTCTTCCTCCTCCTCCATGTCGTCCGTCTTCCCCTCTTCTCCGTCCTTCTCCGCATCCTCCTGCTCCCACGAGTTTGGTCTCTCGCACGCGATGCTATCTGAGGATCATTGCCCGACTGGCCATGATCCGGCGACGTGAAGCAATGCTGGAACAAGTGGTATCACCCCCCTCAACGGAGATTCCAGTGCGTAACTCCCCGAGGTTGGGCGTCGCCGTTTCCCGCTCCTTCGCAGGATCCTTCGTCGCCGTTCTTTTCTGGGGTTCCTCGGCATCCTTTGGGGCGCGTGATGTGGACCGCGGCTTGATCGCAGGCCTGCTTGGGGCGCGTGGCCTCCTGGGGGGCGCCACCGAAGGCCCCAGTGTCAGGGTTCACATATGTCCCCTGGCAAATTTGGGCACACGCACACATCACACGGTCCGTGGCCTCATAGGGAGTTCCACCGAAAGCTTCAATAGCAAGGCTCACATGCGTCCCAAGGCCAGTTTGGGCACACCCCTCACACGGTGCGTGGCTTCATAGGGAGACTCAGGGAGTTTCACCGAAGGCCCTCGTGGCAGGGTTCGCACGCGTCCCGGTAAGTGTTTTGGTGTGTCGTCGTCGCTGTTTTGTTCGAAGGGATTCACAGAATATGTGCGTTTTGCTCGCCGTGTTTTTGATTGGGTGGGTCTGTGTGGGGGGCGAGTCACGTCGCCGTTTCTCGGTGACACTCGGTAGCTCTGCAGGAATTGTACGTTCTTCGCTGGTCTCTCTGAAGGGATGGGTTAGATAAGAATGAAGGGGAGTGATCAAGTGGTCATGTATATATCCTCTACTCACCATGCTCCTCCTCCTCCTCCTCCTCCTCCTCCTTCGCCTCCTCCTCCTCCCCCCCTCCCCCTCCTCCTCCTCCTCCTCCTCCTCCTCCTCCTCCAGCTTGTCCTCCTCCTTCTCCTCCCCCTCCTCCTCCTCCTCCTCCTCCTCCTCCTCCTCCTCCTCCTCCTCCTCCTCCTCCTCCTCTGTGCACTTGTCCTGCAGCGTCTGGTCCCAGACCCGGTCCCCCAATGGCGGCGAAGGTCGGCAGACGCCCTTCGCGCCTCGCGCTCTGCGCGACGCGAAGCGCGAGGCCCGTCGACACGGCCTCGTCCTCCTGCTGCCCCCGCCCCCTCCCTCCTCCCGCCTCCCGCCTCCCTACTCCCCAGCCTCCTCCCTCCCTCCCTCTTCCCAGAACTCTTTCCCTCCTCCCCGCCTCCATCCTCCGCCTCCTCCCTCCTCCCTCCTCCCTCCCTCCCTCCTCCCTCCTCCCTCCTCTCTCCTCCCTCCTCCCTCCATCCTCCATCCTCCATCCTCTATCCCCATCCATCCTCACCCATCCTCACCCATCCTCCGCCCCCGTCCCCTCCGCAGCCACAGGGCAGCCCTGGCCGTCATGCCCCCCCCCCCCCACCCCTGGGATTATGATGTTCCAGCCTACTTTCTACTTTAGCCTTGAGCACCAGGAAGAGTTTCGAGCACCAAGAGAGTACCGAAACCTGAGAGTTTCCACGTGTGTCGGGCCCTGGGGGGCGATACTCGTTCGACACTGTTTCGATACTTTTCTGGGGGCTCGAAATTATTTCTGGGATGTGGCCCTTAAGTACGATGGGAGCAACATAACCCTGGGACTGCCCGAGTGGGGGGGTCACAACCCGGACGTCCCTGACTCCGAAACCGCCTTCCTTTGGGCGATCTCGCAGACAGGGCGGAAGTGTTCGCCCTGCTTCTCAGCTCCCCTGCTGTCGTTGTCAGCCCCGCTTTGCCGTCGCTGTTTCCGCCGTATTCTTGCAGAGATATCCGCCCTATTGCTCTGAGGCGGACATTTCCGCACTACTTTTTTGCATCGTTCGGGGTGCATTTCCGGCAGAGTTTCAATTCAGAAAATCGACCAAAGTACGGCGGATCTGGAGTCAGCGGGTACCCCCCCGCGGATTCCCCCCAGGACCACCCCCCGCGACCACCCCCCGGGAACCCCCTGGGACCCTGCGGCGGGGAAGGGACAAAGGGAATGAAAGGGGCTTCCCTTCGACGCAATGACTTCACTGTTCGATCCCCCTTGTTTGTTCGATCTCCCTTACGACGACGACGATTCAAAGGAGGCTGGCGTACTTCAGTTCGGGTTGGGCTGGCCTCGCGTCGAATGGCCTCTCACCCACGCCGATTGGCTTGGCGGACTTCCTGGGGTATCAAGGGAGGCCCCCGAGGTGTAGAGCCAACTTTCCCCATGGGCGGACCGGGGGACCTGGAGGGCTCAGAGGGCCCCCAAATAGTTGAACTATAGCCCAAGTGGCCCAATAGGGGCCCAGAGAGGAACCCCGAACGGACATCTCGAGCTTTCCGCCCCAAGATGGCCCCTGGAGCCATTCAGGGGCTTCCACCCCCCCCCCCAAGAGGCTACAGGAGGCCCCCGAGAGGCCACAAGAGGCGCCAAGAGGACCCCAATGAGAGCCTCAACTGGTCAACATTATGTTTTTTCCGGATCGGTTTTGAAGGATTGTGGCGTTCACTTGTTCAGGATTCCAAGGCTCCGAGTTGGCCAAAGAGGCCTCATAGATTGCCCCAAGACTGCCCAGGAGGCTCCCAAGAGGGCTCCAAAACGGTCCGTAGCCATTTTGGCTCAAGGTCATTGGCATGATTGTACACATGTTTACAACACACGTTCACTCTTGTCTCGCATCACTTACACAGCCACCCAGTGTCACATGGCTTATTCGATGCTGATTCTTTCCATAGTGTTCATCCCCATAGTAGCCGATGGAATTCGATTGAATCGTGATTGGCCTGGTCATGATCACATCGATGCCACGCAGCGAAATACAGTGGAGGATATGCCAGGTCTTGGTGATTTAACAGATTATTCAGATGATGCCGACGATTTTAAGGATGACAGTGTGGTCTCAACAATGTTGAGCGTTTTCGAAGAGGATGCTGGAACACATCTCAGAAAGAGGGCCCCCGTCTTGCAAACAGTTGCAGTCGTTGCTGTTGGACACGTACGTACATTTGTATTGCCAGGAGTCCATTCCAGCATAAAAACTAATTTGTTAGGGACATTCCCAGGAACTGCTCATTTCTATTTTGTTGGACATCTGGGCAGGTACGTTGACTGGTTTACACATGGAGCTAGAGACGTAGACGTTGCAAGTTACTTGAATAGGCGGTTCAACGGATCGGAGGAGAATGCTATTGCATCTGCATTGGACACAATGGCTGAGTACTCAACGCACGTCGAGATTCATGCTGGCTGTGCTTGCGACGATTTGCTCCGTGCTCGTGAGAAATACGGAATTACAGGCCCTCCGTGTGATACGGCCAGAAAGAATTTAATGCAAGTTCTGTGGATGGACTATGCCTTCAAGCAAACCGAAAAGCGTGGTCCGTATGATCTGATTTTTCGAATCCGGCCAGACGTTGCAGTGTTCAAGCAGTTTCCTTGGCACTCAATTTCAGCAGACACTATCAATTATGTAAAGAAGTTCATTTGGCAAGACGGCGTGGCTGATTGGCATTTTGCGTTCCCTTTCCTATACCTCAACAAGACCTGGCCGGCCATCGTTCAGAAGTTCATTATCAAATCCACGAGCGGGCCATATTCGGGCCCAGGATGGAGCCCCGACATGGTTTGGCATTTTCCTCAGCCTTTCGCTCCGGTTGGTAATGTTGTCAATTTTACGTCTGTCGTTGTCCGGTCACCCATCTCGGCCAATTGCGATCACATCGACGACGAGACCCTCCGCAACGACTGCAAGCTGAAGTGCCGAACATGCAAGGATAATTGGCCTTTAGCACTAGAGTGCCAGGCTTGCAAGGGCATATGTTACTTTATGGAGAAGCATTGAAGGGCGCCTCCCAGTGGAGGATCATTACAGACCGACCTCTCTGCACTCATTTTCCGTTTGCCTCGTACCTTCTTCTTTTGATGCGGAGTGGCTTATGAACTTCCGCCAGGCTTATCGGGCAATGGCCGTGGACCCTCGAGGACGTCCGAAATGTGATGGATTTGCAAAAAAAAAAAAGAGGGCTCCAAAACGGCCGAAGAGTCCCCCGAGCGGGCCCCAAGACGGCCCAAGAGGATCCCAAGACGGCCCCCAACTGGGAGCCCAGAGGGGGAAACCGAACGTATGTTTCTGACTTGGGCCTCAAGATGGGCCCAAGAGTCACCCAGACGCGTCCGAGGCGCTCCCAAAAGGCCCAAAGAGGCACCAAGAGGCCTCCAACGATTTTTCGAGAAGATCCCCATGGCCTTTAAGAGGGCCCCCAGAAGGTCCAAAAAGCTATCCGAGAGGCATCGCTATGACCCGAAGGCCAATCGATATTGTTCTCGGCATGTGGAAAGACAAGATCAGCCGAAAGAGGAGAAGAACGAGAGAACAGCGTGCAAGGCAGGACACAGCTAAAACAACTATTATGGTTTCTCGTCTTCAGAGCATATGATGGATGAGTTAGAAGATGCATATACTGTTTATCGTGCTGTAGACGACACCCTGCGATGCGACCATTCTGCAACACATGTGTTACGGTCTTCTGGAAAAATGGCGCCGCTCTTTGCTCAAAAAGCTTCGACGATAACCCGAGCGCGGCCGAAAGGCTCCAACATGGTCCCAAGATGAGCCGAACAGGTCAGAAGCCGCCGTGAATGTATTTGGTGTGCAGTGCGTTTCCGCCCAATGCGGTTCCACGACCGCCCCGGAGGAGCCAAAGAGAGCCCCAAGAAGTCGCCAAGAGGGCCCCCCAACGACCCCAATTTGGCCCAGAACTGCTCCAAGAGGGCCTCTGGATCAGCCCAGGGCGACCAAAGAGGGCTCCAGGTGGCCCAACACAGTCCCATGATGCCCAAGAGCCCTTCGAACCGTCCTAAAAGGGCTCCGAATCGACCCTGCGGAGGCCCAGAGGGCCCAAGTTGTCCCTAAAATGCTCCCTAAAGGCTACATGAGAAACCCTAGAAGACCCCAAGGCAGCCGCACAGGGAGCCAATACAGCTTTGAGGAAGCGCCGAGAGGGAGGAGGAGGAGGAGGAGGAGGAGGCGGAGGAGGAGGAGGCGGAGGAGGCGGAGGAGGAGGAGGAGGAGGAGTTGGAGGAGGAGGAGGAGGAGAGGAGAAGGAGGAGGAGGAGGAGGAGAGGAAGGAGAGAGGAGGAGAGG